TCTGTGTCAGTGAGTCCCTCTGCTGAGATAGTGGAGGGCAGTTCAGTGACTCTGACCTGTAGCAGTGATGCTAACCCAGCAGCTACATACACCTGGTACAAGGAGAACCAAACACTGTCTCAAGGACAAGAAGGTATCTATCATTTCACCTCCATCAGCTCTGAGGACAGCGGGTCCTACAACTGCAAGTCTGAGAATCAATATGGACAGATAAACTCCTCACCTATATTAATAGATGTCCAGTGTAAGTCACATTTTATTTTTTTCAGGATACAAAGTTAGGCTGGAAATATTTTGAAATTTTGTATGTTTTATTTCCAAAACTTTGTCCCTATATATATTGTACCATATGTAAAGGTCACATATCTAGTAAAATGACTGTACATTTTTATATTGTATTTTCAGACTGTTTTGGAATGTTTTTCCTCTCCCAAAATTTGTCACTACCGAAACATGTAGTATTATATTATACAAAAAAATATATATCAACCTGTTATGCTTGTTCCTTCCCTTGTTTAAAGATTTAAATTTTTACAAATTGATGAAACAGAACATAAATGTAACCGATTAGCATCATAATAATTTAGTTGATAACTCAATATACTTTATCTTTTTAAAAACACCCAGTGTTTCGGTAGTGACTGTCCTGTTTCGGTAGTGACCATTATACTGTTTTTAAGGTTGCATCATATTTCCTCAAATGTATGCCTTATGGTGGGAATTACAAATTCAAAGACAAATGTTTTGTGGTCAATAAAACAATTTAATTTTTGAGAGGGCAAAGCAGAGTAGAGTAGAGCGGAGCAGAATAGAGCAGAGCATAGTAGAGTAGAGTGGAGAAGAGTATAGTAGAATAGAGCAAAGTAGAGCAGAGTATAATAGAATAGAGCAAAGTAGAGCAGAGTATAATAGAATAGAGCAAAGTAGAGCAGAGTAGAACAGAGCAGAATAGAGTAGAGCAGAGAAGAGCAACGTAGAGTAGAGCACAGCAGAGTATAGTAGAGCAGAATATAATAGTGTAGAGCAAAGCAGAGTAGAACAGAGCAGAGCAGAATAGAGTAGAGCAGAGTAGGGTAGAGAAGAATAGATTATAGAGTAGACCACAGTAGAGTAGAGTAGAGCAGATTATAGAATAGAGCAGAGTATAGTAGAGTAGAGGAGAGCAAAGCAGAGCAGAACAGAATAGAGTAGAGCATAGCAGAGTAGAGTAGAGCATAGTAGAGTAGAGTATAGAATAGAGCAGAGCAGAATAGAATAGAGTAGACCAGAGCAGAGCAGAGCAGAATAGAGTAGAGCATAGTAGAGTAGAGTAGAGAATAGTAGAGTAGAGTAGAGTAGAGCATAGTAGAGTAGAGTAGAGCATAGTAGAGCAGAGCAGAATAGAGTAGAGCATAGTAGAGTAGAGTAGAGCATAGTAGAGTAGAGTAGAGTAGAGTAGAGCAGAGTAGAGTAGAGCATAGTAGAGTAGAGTAGAGCAGAGCAGAGTAGAGCATAGTAGAGTAGAGTATAGAATAGAGCAGAGCAGAATAGAATAGAGTAGACCAGAGCAGAACAGAGCAGAATAGAGTAGAGCATAGTAGAGTAGAGTAGAGCATAGTAGAGTAGAGTAGAGCAGAGCAGAGCAGAGTAGAGTAGAGCATAGTAGAGTAGAGTAGAGTAGAGCAGAGCAGAGCATAGTAGAGTAGAGTAGAGCAGAGCATAGTAGAGTAGAGCATAGTAGAGTAGAGTAGAGCAGAGCATAGTAGAGTAGAGCATAGTAGAGTAGAGTAGAGTAGAGTAGAGCAGAGCATAGTAGAGTAGAGCAGAGCAGAGCAGAGTAGAGTAGAGAAGAGTATAGTAGAGCAGAGTATAGTGGAGTAGAGCATAGTAGAGTAGAGTAGAGCAGAGTAGAGTAGAGCAGAGTAGAGTAGAGAAGAGAAGAGTAGAGCAGAGTATAGTAGAGTAGAGCAGAGTAGAGTAGAGAAGAGTATAGTAGACCAGAGTATAGTAGAGTAGAGCAGAGCAGAGTACAGTAGAGAAGAGAAGAGTATAGTAAAGCAGAGTATAGTAGAGTAGAGTAGAGCAGAGCATAGTAGAGTATAGCAGAGTAGAGTAGAGAAGAGTATAGTAGACCAGAGTATAGTAGAGTAGAGCAGAGCAGAGTACAGTAGAGAAGAGAAGAGTATAGTAAAGCAGAGTATAGTAGAGTAGAGTAGAGTAGAGTAGAGCATAGTAGAGTAGAGCAGAGTATAGTAGAGTAGAGCAGAGTAGAGCAAAGTAGAGCAGAGTGGAACAGAGCAGAGTAGAGCAGAGTATTGTATAGTAGAGCATAGTAGAGTAGAGTAGAGCAGAGTAGAGTAGAGCAGAGCAAAGTAGAGCAGAGTAGAACAGAACAGAGCAGAGTAGAGCAGAGTATAGTAGAGTAGAGCATAGTAGAGTAGAGCAGAGCAGAGTAGAGTCGAGTAGAGAAGAGTAGAGCATAGTAGAGTATAGTAGAGAAGAGTAGAGAAGAGAAGAGTATAGTAGAGCAGAGTATAGTAGAGTAGAGCAGAGTAGAACAGAACAGAGTAGAGTAGAGCAGAGAGGAGAAGAGAAGAGTAGAGTAGAGCAGAGTAGAACAGAACAGAGCAGAGTAGAGCAGAGTATAGTATAGTAGAGCAGAGAAGAGAAGAGAAGAGTAGAGTAGAGTATAGAGTAAAGCAAAGTAGAGTAGACCAGGGTAGAGTAGAGCAGAGAAGAGCAAGACTCTGGACCACAAAATTATGGGGTTTAACTACTGACCATTCCATTTTGTCACTACCGAAATGATAATGTCACTACAAAAACTTTACCATAGGTTTCAGTAGTGACTGTTTCAGTAGTGACATACCTAGCTATTTTTCAGGATAACTAAAGAATGCTAGCAGTCACATGGCTAACAAGCACATGTTTGAAGAGTTGTTCACACAGAAAAACATAATATTTTGCACAAGACCCCCAAAATTTTTACATAATTGAAGAGAACATGTGTTCGGTAGTGACAGTTTTAAAAGTTACACACTGATTTTCAGACTTTGGAAGACATTTATTTAAAAAATGATGGGAGTCAGCGACTTACCATGCAGCCATGTGGGACGGGGGTGCAGTACTACCCCAGTTCTCTGAAATTCAGGGGTGTGGCTAAAATCCAGACTCAACCAGTGCATTAAAACTCTTGTGTTTCGGGAGTGACATGAAAACAAGGGACACTATGTTTTTTTAGCATAGTTTCTTAATTTAAAAATTAATCCCACAATACATCTAAATCTTTCAACTTCTGTTTAAACTTAATCACAAAGATGTTTTAAATTACACTTTTAAAAAAAATATGAAAAATGTTTTAAGTGTTATTTACATGAATTGAATTTTAGAGGTCAGGGTTGGGGACAGCTACTTCCCAACAGAAAGTACCCTATAAATGCTGATTTTGTATATATTTAACTTATCACTTTTTCATTAAATGTCCTGGGTTTAAATAGGTCATAACATAATCTTTGTAAATATCTATGTCTGATTACTCAGTTTTATTATTTTTGTTGTTTTTTTTTTGGTAAGGGACAGCACTTTGCACAAAACCAGTAGAATGCCCCATTAATGACATTTGTCTCCATACATCCTATTTTTTAACTGCTTCCAGATGCTCCAAAGCTTCCCTCTGTGTCAGTGAGTCCCTCTGCTGAGATAGTGGAGGGCAGTTCAGTGACTCTGACCTGTAGCAGTGATGCTAACCCAGCAGCTAACTATACCTGGTACAAGGAGAATATAAATCTCAGACCTCTCAGTGAAGAACCACAGCTCATCTTCAGCTCCATCCAGTCTTCTGACTCTGGACAGTATTACTGTGCAGCTGAGAACGAGCTAGCGACAATATTTGAATCCATCCTCATCAATGTGAAATGTAAGTGAAACTTTTTTAAAAGCAATGCATAACTACTAAGGTAGTTTTATTCACTACTGGTAACCAGATTTGGTCAAAAACCATCAGCTATCCAGTTGCAGATGCTGCCACAACTTCTTGTTATTTAAATACAAATTATTATAATGTGTATTTTCTCTTCCAGATGCTCCAAAGCTTCCCTCTGTGTCAGTGAGTCCCTCTGCTGAGATAGTGGAGGGCAGTTCAGTGAATCTGACCTGTAGCAGTGATGCTAAACCAGCAGCTAAATATACCTGGTACAAGGAGAATGAAGACTCACCAAAAGCATCAGGACAGATCTTCACCATCACTGACATCAGAGCTGAACACAGTGGGAATTATTACTGTGAAGCCCACAACAGCAGAGGACGTCATAACTCCACCTTACATCTGACTGTTTTGGCAGGTAAGTTTTTTTATTTCCTAACACATGAGCACATCAGATGTTGATCCTATGATGTAATGTGGGTGCTGGGATCACTTGCTAAAATCTCAGAACATGGAGACATCATTAACGTCTGATGGTGCAAGAAACACAAGCAGTCAGACACAGTTTAAACAAACCCCAGATGAGACAGCTTTATTTAGGAGAGAAAGCAGAAGCTAACAGTCCAGCAATTACTCACACTTTCCTCTGTAAACATCCATCAGAGTTTACAGACAGACTTCCCAGTTTCAGTTTGACCCAGTGTACTTGCTGTAACTGAGCACTTGCAGTTTTCCTGCACAGTTAGGGAATATAACTGACATTTTGAGTGTGTTCACCATCAGTTTTACCTCAAAAAATTGGTTTAGATAGAAAGATAAATGGTTTGTGTGCAAACAGTTTCACCGTCTGACGATTCTTTGCCCTGTCAGAAGTGATGTCCCTGTGTTCCCAGATCTCTGCCAATAATTGATCAGCATATTATCACAAGTCACAATAAAATTTATATTTTCTTGAAAGTCTGGGTAAAACAAAATCAGTAATTTCTTCCTTAACACATTATACATGTTATAAAATATGTGTGGTTCTGAATTGTGGAGTTTCTGTTTTCTAGCATTTCTGTGTCCAGGATTTTTTCAATGTGCAATCATGGCTCAATCAGTACGTTTACACAGTGTTAGAGAAAATCAGTTTATTGTGTTAGTCCAACTGAATCAAATTTCTCAAAGTTGGACTATCACACCCAGATAATAAGACTGAGAGTCGTGTTACTCCTGCATGTGTACAGTCAATCAGACCCAAAGTGGCCTCGGTGCTCATCGCATGCTCCACAGTGTCCGCGGAAGTCGAAAGCATTAAATGTGTAACAGATGAAGAAGGCAGTAACAACATGGTGAAATCCACATACAGAGCTGAGCATTTTTGGACGGATGAAATGTACAGAGCTATAAAGTTGTCCCCCATGTTACTGGTTTGCCAGTAGCTAACTGTAGCTAACTTGTTTGTCGATTGTTTGGTCTGTGACATAACAGGTCACCGGAAAAAGGTCCAATACTAAGGAGCTGAAAGGGGGAATATCACCATCTGTCATAGCAGAGTCGGACATATGGTTGTTGGTGTTGGTCAATAAATCGATTCCCCTCCCATGCATCAGTCTCTTGTGTGTTAGCAGCAACTTCACTACGTTCCACAAGCTCCCTTAGCGCTTTCAGTCTGATAAATACAAACATCAACAAACATCTGTGTTAAATGCCACAGTCATATAAACAAAAGCAGAATATCCGCCACTAATGTACCTTTTAGTCTTGAAGCCTGAATCTGCAAATCTGCTTACTGCTGTGTGTAAATTAGCTGCTGAATGAGACGCTATAGCTGTAGAGCGTGGATCATCACTCGCTTTTCAGCTGTGCTATGGATTCTGTATGCTACTGGGTTAACTGCTAACAAGACTGTCTCTGCACTCGTTAGCTCAGGGTCTGAGCTTTGTGCTACTTGGTTAGCTCCTAAGGGCTGCTAATGAAAGTCTGTTGCTTTGCAGCACTTTGATCTTTGTTTCAGCTCCTGCAGCGGACACGTCCCCAGGGTCTCAGAGCAGAGAATATTTCATGATTTTGATACCTAATTTTAAATACCTGGCATTTTTAAATCATTCAAATTTGACTGGGTGGTTACTAATAAGTGTTTCTGTGGTGTGATGAACTCATTACACAATACACACACGTTTTTGCTTTACCTCGACTTTAAAATATCTGCGTATTTACTAAGCTTGAGCTTAGCACCACCTTGTCACATTTTATCACAGTGTTCCCAGAAGTATGGAAATCAGTAGTCATTGGAGCGGCCCCTGGTGTTTCCCTGGCTGTCATATGGCTCTCTGTCTTCCTGCTGATAAAGTGAGTCAATCTGGGTTGTTTTCTAAAGCATTGTGCATTAAAGGGATACTTCACCAATTGTCAACGAGCTGTGTGTCATAGCAGTTTGGGTAGTATGTGTAAATGAGCTGTGGTAAACTTCCCTCCATCTATGTCTCTCAAACTCCAACTTAACTCAGATCAAACTGTAAAGTAGGCTGTGGTGATAAAATATGGACCAAGATTCAGTTACTGTGTTGCTTGTTTTCACCTAAAATGTTTTCAGAGACACATTTTAGCTTACTGTTTAACTGTAATTCATACAGCACCAATTTCAACAGTATCTGTGTCTTTGTATTTCACAGACGGCCTAGTTTTTTGAAAAGATCATCTTTTCAGCAGTGAAATACTTCTTTAAATATCTGAAAGGAAACTCAGTTTAGCAACTAAATTATGAATTCTTTTTTTTTTCCTAATTAATTCCTTTAACCAGAAAAATGAGGGCTTCCAAGAAACCATCCGAGCCTGGAGATAGACCAGACCCAGACAACAGGGAACAGGTGAGCAAAACCTGTAAGAATACTCACAATTTTCCTGCTAAGCACTGGTGTGGCTGTCTGTGGCTACCAGCTGTTGGAGTGAAACCTTTTTGAGTTTAGTTACCCCAAGGGACCTTTGAATCAGCAGACTGTTTCAAGCAGGTCACAGGGACTGCAGCTTTTGTTTTCAGTTGCCAAACTGAATACAACGGAAGGAGCTTTGGTTTATTCTGATTTGCATGAATCTTTCTGAGGTCACACTGCAAAACGCAAGACTTTAAAGGATAACTTCAGTATTTTTCAACCTGGGCCCTATTTCCCCATGTGTATGTGTGCCTGTGATTCATGGGTACAACTCGTTTCAAACTTGGTTCAGTATTGAGGGAGCCAGCAGCCGCGAGGTAGATATGGGGGCAAAGTTTTCCAGTTTCCCCCTTCGGGATTATTAAAGTTAATCCAAATGCGTCCCGTATAAGTTTGTGCATTAAAAGTGCTTTTTTTCGCCACTGACCGGTTCAGATCGCCAGTGCTATCTCTGTAAGTAGCATACTAAGCGTTTCCTTTACCCTTCACTTCCTGTGGGCTGTGTGTGACGTCATCTCGCGAGTGCTTTGCTTGTTGCCAGAAGAAAACAGGGTAAGATAAATATACAAGGGCAAAGTATGCAACAGTAAATGTGCGTCTCGGAGACAATTCTAGGTATCAGTATTACATACATAAAGACATATTAGTTATACTTACTTGATGGATAGTTGACCATTTGGTCCCTGTGGTTTTGGCCGCCTCCTCCAATTTATTTTGGGCACATGAAAAAAGGTATCCAGCACTGCCCTGTTGATCAGAGGGGGGAAATCCTCTAACGTAGTTACACAGCGTTTGGTAGTTTCTGTATCATCCCAGGGCACATCGAGACCATGAATATTGGGCAACAGGTCCCACTCGTTGCAACACAGACATTCTTCCTCTGTGGGCATGGAGTCACAGCAACCACAGGAGTACCACCAGTCCTCAGAGATTCGCGTTAGTGCAGCCGCTACTTCACCCTCGTCTGCTCGTTGGCCATCTCTCTCTATCCTCGTCTGCTCTTCAATTTGTAGGAGCTCCTCGTCTGTATACTCAGGCTCAAATGAGTACGGGCGGCCATCGTAATAAAAGGGCTCATCTTCATTCTCGAAATCGGGTAAATATGCAGCCATGATACCGATGCAGTAAAACTCTAAACTGTACTCCGGGACAACCAGCGCCACTCTGAGCGGCGCTCAGCATGGCTCCTCTTCTTCTGGCAACAAGCAAAGCTCTCGCGAGATGACGTCACACACAGCCCACAGGAAGTGAAGGGTAAGGGAAATGCTTAGTATGCTATTTACAGAGATAGCACTGGCGATCTGAACCGATCAGTGGCGAAAAAAAGCACTTTCAATGTGCAAACTTATACGGGACGCATTTGCCCCCATATCTACCTCGCGGCTGCCAGTTGCATCCGCCTCCCTCAATACTGAACCAATTTTAAAACAAGTTGTACCTATGAATCATACGCACACATACACATGGGGAAATAGGGTTGAAAAATACCGAAGTTATCCTTTAATGGGACTGTATGAAGATAATATTAGTACTAGTTACTGAAAAGAACACTTGGAGGAACTTCCCAACCTGACTGACACCCTTTCTTTGGAGGAAGAGGAGGTGGAAGCCTTGCCTGTCTCCATGTTATAGGTCACTGAGTAATTGAAAAAGCCTTACAGGGGACAGGTTTTAAAGGTTAAAGTTAGATTTAGTTAGATGGAAAGCTGCACCGAAGGACTTGTACACAGGGATAATTGTTCCCATTTTCAATATAAGGGGACAAGAGATTGTCCTTTAATTCAGGGTGCCATATTGCTCAGTCGCCCCAGGATATGTACACCTACAGGGTGCCTGTAAGGAGACTGCCGCCAATTGCTAAACCCTAATCCTCAATGAGCAATGGTTTTCTTGGTCATGGAGCACTGAACCAGCTCTTTTGATCTCTTACAAGGCTGTTATCTGCAGCTGTGTCTCTACTGACAATCTGTGACAATGACACTGTGTCCTCTCGTGTCGAATGGGAAGCAACATATAAACATTTTCTTCCATTCTCTTCCCCAACTCAAACACATTGTCAGCAGGTCTTAGTACTCTGCTAAGAAGGCCCCTTCATGGTGCAACTGAGGAGTGGATTATTGTCCATTTGGTGACCCGTTTCCACTGTTTGCAGATGATGTAGTTCTGTTGGCTCGATCAGGTTGAGACCTACACTGAAGCAGTTTGCAGCAGAGTGTAATGCCTCCTTAGTTAGAGTCAGTCTCTCCAGAGCTGTGGCCATGATAGTCTTCTGGCAAATGGTCGATTGCCCCCTGTAATCAAGGTGCCCTCTTGACGTTTCCCTGAGAGTGTTTACTGTCAAACTGGGTGAAGGCCCTGCAGCAGACAAAGAAGATACTGGTGGGATTGCATACTATGTCTGGCCTGGATAGAGCCTGAAGGTCTACCAGGAGAAACTTGATAAGCTATCTGGCTTAGCCTGCTGCCATTATGACTAGGACAAGGATATGTTAAGAAAAATGGATGAATAGATCAAGAAGACATACGCCCAAAGCTTTGACCTCCAACATTTTTATAAATGTAATATGTAAAACTCATTTTATATTTGCAGGGTCTACCCAGTCACTCAGAGGAGCAGGATGACCTTCACTATGCCAGTGTTTATTTCAAGACCCACACAGATCCTGTGTACTCGAACATCAGACCAGCTGGACTGCGCACTGATGAGGAAGAAGCAGTCGAGTATACTGCTGTCGTATTTAACAGTGCCAGTACTCCTCTGAGGTGAGCAGCTCTTCTCACAGTTACATTTATCCTCACTAAAACCTAAAAATGTCCTGCAAATATATATTAGTTAATATTGTACTACTCCTGATTCTTCTCTCAGAACCACAGGCCAGAAAAGTGGGGAGGATCCAGCTGCAGTTTACAGTACAGTCAGCAAAACTGATGACCACAACAGGAATCTCTAGTCTGTCCTTTTTTCATTTATTTTATTAAGCAGGTAACAATGTGATTTTTTAGAGTTTTATACTGACATTCATGGTCATCAGAGGATGAATTCTACTGACTTTGGTGATCCCCTGACTCAGACGCCAGCAACAAAGCATGGTGACATTGGTGCTCCAAGGTGAAATCCTAATTACTTTGGGGATTCCCTGACTTCTCATCTAAAATGTCTCAACTACTGTTGGATAGATTGCCGTGAAATTAGCCAAAATCCTTTCCCTCACAGGATAAATTATAATGACACTGGCGATCCCTTGACTTTTTTGGTTGTGCCAGCATCATGTCAGAATTTGTCCACTGCTTTGGTTCATGCGAAAATAAAGATTTTAGATAGATACTCAACTAAAATTCACAAAACAAAATTAATTTGTAACCTGTAGCTTTTTAAGAATGTAATTAATATTTTTTTATTTAATACCAATGTAAATTTTTGCTATTGAAAAGCACAGGAACGTGCATTAGGTGACCTAGTTGTGGTTTCATACTGCCGCCACTAGATGTTAGTCGAGTCACACTGTGTGTATCCTGTCTTTTTCCAACACACTCTTTCTGTGCTGTCCTTTAATTTAGCAATTCAATCATCATGATTACTTTTTGTCTAATCATAAAATCATCACAGCTCATTACAATTGTGTCTCTTGCTCCTGTATTTATACCTATCTTTATGCCCCATCTCGTTTGTTCTGTATTGCATTTGTTTACATTTTTTCTTGTTTAAATATGCTTGAATAAAAATTTGGTTGAAATGGTCACAGCTCATGTCAGCACTAAGGCCTTAACCTGTGATGAAGGGTCACAAAATCTCTGTCACCTGGAATTAAACACTGAAAAGGTGTAAAAAAGCTGCACTGATCATGTTCTGGTCTTTGTCAAGAAAGATTACAGGGGGAGCACAGTAAATGCAGACTGCAGACAGATTGCTGCTACAGTCTGAGTGAGTGAAGTTCAGTATGTGACCACAACCACAGTCCTGATCAACACTGTGAAAAATACAGATAAGGAGGTTCTGTCCAGCCACATTACAGATTGACGCCACCCAGCAGCGTATCACACTGCCATGAAAGGTGGCTTTTAGTGTCAGGTGTCTGACGCTGAAATCACTGAGAAAGCAGCGACTTCAGAATGAGAGGGAGCTGGATTTACACATTATGACTTTGCATTATTATTACTCTAATTTCTGCATGAATTATATTCAAAATAAACAGCCCAGGCTGTAATAAAATGTAAAACCTAATCAACTCTAATGACAAATAAATCATCATATGACTTTTTGTAGAGTTTATTAATGCGGTGCATCTTTTAAGTCATGGTATCAAGACAGTTTCTCACCTTGCTCTGAAGTGTAAAGTCAGGTTTCACACTTCCCTTTTGTCTCTTTCGAAACTTAGTTAAGTTTTATTCCTCCAGAGACAAAACTGTGCCTGCATTTACAAAAGAAAGGACGACGTGAAAAAAATATCTACTCTTGTTAATGTGAGAAAGGTAGTGTGGCATGGATGAGAGGAGGTTTGGTACCAGGAGGCCACAAAACAGATATCTCATTCTGCAAAACAACAAATAAAAGTAGTTGTCTTTGTCATTTTACTGGCACCTGGTCCACCGTGTTTAAAAATAATGAGAAGAGGAAGGAAGTCTGGTGTATGTTAACCACCTGCTATCTCTCTCCTGCTTGTTCTCACGCCCACAGAGGAGCGTTACAGTTCAAGAGAACTTCCTTGATGTGACCAATCTGTATCATTCTGCACGTTAACCTTGTTTTATTGTCAGTGAAGCTACACGGAGAGGAGCAGCCATGAGTTCAACTGAAGCAGCAAGTCGATTTTTTGTCTTCCTTCTCTCTGTGCCAGGTAACGTATATCCACATTAACACTACAGGGCCTTTAGCACTCTTCTTCAGAGCAGCCTGTGGGATTAAAATAATATTTTAAATGAATCCCAGGTTGGCTGCTTTTCAGGTGTGTCTTTGCTTAATTATCTGTTTGTTTGTTTTTTGTATCATTACATATTTAATAATACTTTAAAATTTTCTTTTTAATCAACTATTTGAACTGTACTTTTGCATATTGTTGGCTAGTTCAATCAATAACAGCTCATAATATCATGTAAGCTCTTGTTTTTAATGCAAAAATCTTGCTTTGTAAGGTAACTAGTAAATGTTTCAAATAACTGTAGTGGGGTTAAAAAGTATGAGATTTCCTTGTGCCTTGAAAAGAAAACTCAAGTAAAGTACAAAATATTTTTATTCAAGGCTCCCTGTCTGTGCTGAACAAAAATTAAATGCAACAGTTTTGTTTTTGCCCCTGTTTTTCACAGGTGTAAGTTAAAGATCAAAGACTTTTATGTACTTCATAAATATTTCTTTCTCAATTTTTGGTTGCAAATTTGTTCAAATTCGTGGTAGCGAACACTTCTCCTTTCCAAGATAACTCATCCACCTGACAGGTGCCGCAAATCAAGAGTCAAGTACCATTACTACACAGGAGTGCCTTGGGATGGTCACAATAAAAGGCCGCTCTAAAATGTGCAGTTTCACCAGACAACACAATGACACAGATGTTGCAAGTTTGAGTGGGCGTGTCATTGGTATGCTGACTGCAGGAATGTCCACCAGAGCTGTTTCCCATGAACTGAATGTTCATTTCACTACTATAAGCTGTCTCCAATGCTGTTTCCATGAATTTGGCAGTACATCCAACCAGCATCACAACCACAAACCACTTGTAACTACACCAGCTCAGGTCCTCTACGTCCAGATTCTTCACCTGCAAGATCATCTGAGACCAGCCACCTGAAGAGATGATGCAACAATTGTTTTGCACAACTGAAGAATTTCTGAACAAACCATTGGAAACTGTCTCAGGAAAGCTCATTTTCATGCTCATCTTCCTCACCAGCGTCTTGACCTGACAGCAGTCTGTCATCATAGATGACGTGCTGTTGTGAGGCTGGTTGGATGTACTGCCAAATTCAGGGAAAGCAACATCGAAGACGTCTTATGGTGGCAAAATGAACATTATGATAGGAGGCACTCAATTTAGTTAATTAACTGTTTATCAGACCATAAGTGAGACCAGAATTAGCACACCCGACTGTCCCTCCGCAGGTCACCCTGCAGGTCAGAGATTACTTCCTCTGGAGGAATGCAGGCAGCAGCTCCAGAGGTGGACCTTCAGTCAGTGAGTGTAACAGCTCAAATAAAGCTAGCGTAAACTTCAGCAGTAAGTCAAGGTCTGTCTCCAGAATGCCGCTGCAAAATTAACAGAACAGAAACACAGCGCCAATGGACTCTGTGTTGTGATGGATGATGGTCATTTGTTGACATTAGCAAACTCCATTTTCAGGCTAATGCTAATGTTAGCTATTGTTGCACACTGTAGAAGTGCAGTGGAGCTGAAGAGAAAGTAGCACACTGTTGGGAGAAGTTTTCCTCTGAGGGCTTCCTGCCAGAAAAGGATTTCTTGGTGAGGTTCATCACATCGTTTGGATTTTGCCGGAAAAATCAGCCCAAGTCCTGTACTGAGAAGTCAGTCCACGGCCTGTTTAAGGCAACTGAGAAAGTCAGGGAGGGTCTCAGTTTTTAAGTCATGCTACAATCCGTTCCCTCATTGGCCATAAAATTATTCATATATTTAGACGTTCATACAGAACCTTTAAGTACAGCACTTGATGAAATGTACTTAGTTATAATTCCAGCACAGCACATGATGTGGGAGCAAAAGTAATTTTTTTTTTTTTTTAATTTGGGGTTAGGTCCATTCTCTAGCAGATTTACTTTCGGATGCACCTCCACAAAATATCCAAATCTGTTGTTTGATGTTAAGAATCTGATTGTGGTTTCTTCTGTGTTACAGTGATACAGGGTCAGTATGGCTGGGGAGTGACTTACAGTCCTACAAAGATCTGTGCCTTAAAAGGATCAACAGTGGAAATACACTGCAGCTACAGATACCCATCCAGAATAAACTCTGATATTACAGTTATGAAAACAATCTGGTTTACTAAAGTGAGTTACTATGAACCTGTGGACCTGACAACAGACCCACAGTATTCAGGTCGTGTGCAGGATCACTGTGATAAGATTAGGAACTACTGCACTCTGAGAATCACAGACCTGAGAGAGAGCGACTCAGCCGTGTACATGTTCATGTTTATCACTAACAAGCAAGGTTGGGGTCTTGCTGGTTCACCTGGAGTCACTTTGTCTGTCACAGGTAAGGGGGGTGGGGAGGGGGTGTCTCAGTTCAAGCATGACTGTAGCTGTTGCAGACAGATTGAATTTATGCTCATGTAAATTATATTCCTTCTTCACAGATCCAGATCTTCAGGTGCAGGTGAAATCAATAGTCCACCAGGGATATTCCAAGGCAGAGCTGAGGTGTCACAGCAGTTGTCGTCTACCTGACAGTCCCTCCTACATCTGGTACGAGAATGGACAGAAAATAAAGGAAGACGCATCATCTATTTCAGTCTCCATTACGTTAACAGACAGCTATTCATGTGCCCTTAAAGGACATGAGGATTTACCATCTCCTTCGGTGTGTAAGTTTACTCTGCAGTGTCTCACTAACAGACTGCCATCTGGTGGCACAGGTCAAGTAGTGCAAATATTTTCAACGTATAAACCTACTTCCCTTTCTGATATTAACATCATGTTTTTGGCATTGAGCTGTACAGGATCACTTCTGCTGTCAGTAACTCAACAGCAATATAATCTATTACTGCTGTGAATCTTTCAGGTGTTGATGGTCGATACTGCAACAGAGTGACGTACACTCACAGAAGCGTCTGTGCCATTAAAGGCTCATCAGTGGACATTTCCTGCACTTACAATAGTCACAGCGATGATGTTGAATCTAAACTCTGGTTCACTACTGAACGCAGTCATCAGTGGCAGAATCCCTCACAGCCTGAGGATCTTCGTAAAGACTCCCAGTACGCAGGTCGTGTTCAGGTCCTTGAAACAAATAGAGGACGCTCCACTCTGAGAGTCACCAACCTGAGAGAGAGCGACTCAGCCCAGTATCACTTCAAATTCACAACACCAAGCTTTGAATGGGGGAGTAGTTTACCTGGTACAACTCTGACTGTCACAGGTACTGATGAACACAAACTGATGTTATATGTGGCATGTAGCTGATACTGAGGGTATGAGTTTGTGAGATAGTAAGATTTATGAATTAGAGAAATTAAATGAACTGTATGTTATTTTGGCTTTGTGTGTGTGTACCTGTGATCCTAGTATTTCATAATCAACATATCTGTGCTTTCTTTAAAGATCCAGATCTGCAGGTGCAGGTGAGGAGATATTCTTCATTTTCTTCCTGGAGAGAGCTGAATTGTCACAGCAGATGTCGTCTACCTGATCGTCCTTCCTTTATCTGGTACAAGAATGGACAGGAAGTTTGTAAAGAAACATCTTCTTCTTATTCAGACTACTTTGGATCTGTAGACAGCTATTCCTGTGCTGTCAAAGGACATGAGGATTTCCCCTCTCCTCCAGTGTGTGAGTTTACTCTACAGTTTCTGGTGGAGCCTGTAAACTATTGTTTGATACCTTAACTGCGTGTAATTCAGCAGCTGGAGACTCGAGCTTGAGGAAAATCATATCGCTGATGCCCCATGGGAATTTTAGACATGAATGGAAACTGAAGAGCTTACATTTCAAAATGTAGCATGACTTGATTTATAAAGGTGCATTTAGTCCTTCTGCTTAAATTGTTGAAAGCACAAAATTCTGATATGCACCTGTTGACTAGGGGTTTTAAACCAGCACTTAACCCATTCCTGTTTGCCTTCATGAAGTTAATGCAAGGCACCGTCATTTCAAACTCAACACTTCCTGTTTCTCTTTCATATTAAAAGCTCCTCATAACTTGGGTTGAGAGAATCCCTTCATTTTCTAAAAAGGCTTTTATTGTGAAACATTTGTAGGAACTTGTTGTGGAGGATTCAGTGACTGTCATAGTTTGCATGCTGTGCTTCAGATCTAGCTCCTGCCATCTGGTGGCACTTTTACGTTACTACAGTAACATTTCAGCTGGCACATGAACAGACACAGACTGAAATAATAGATGATAATCAAATAGGACAAGAATAACCCGATGACATCCCACACGTCATGAAAGACGACCGGGGATAATTGGTGTGGACCATTGTGTAGTCTGTTGGCCAAGTCACGGCAAGATTTTATGACTCCACAGTCTCCTAATGTGACACTGTGACTGTCAGAACGGACAGAAATGTCATGCAGTGTGAGTCCAGCAAAAGGGAGGTTTTTACCGCAGTGGTCTCTTCTCTCCAAAACAATCAGGTCCAGTGATTTAAACCGGTAAAAGCACTGCATAAAGTAGTTTCACATTTCTTTTCTGATGCCCTTCTCTAACTAATGTGGCTGATTCCAAAATGCAAGTGGCCATTTCTAGAGCCAGTGTTTGCTTTGTCTGTTCTGGGACCCTGCAGAAACATGCTGGTGCAACATAGCGATCTTTGTAGACCTGCTCCCTGTGCAGATATAAACCACTGGTAACAAAACAAAAACACAACCACTTTTATTTTCAGATGATTATACATTAAGGAAAACACACTTATTATATTATACTTCATTTTTGCCAAAACAACCTCCTAAATTATTCACACTGGAGCTAAAAGTCAGTATGTTCAAGCAAAAATACCAGACATTCTCTAATTCCACTTTCTGAATTGTGAGGATTTGCTGCTTGTCTTCATTTAATGTGACAGTAAACGTGTCTCTAATATATTTGGATTTCAGACTGCTGGTTGGACAGAACAAACACTGTGAAGGTGTCACTTTGGGCTCTGGCTCATTGTGACAATCATTTCTCACTATTTTTACAAACCAAACAATAAGTTGATTAATGGAGAGAATAATCAGCCGACTGATGCATAATGAAAATGATTATTAGTTAAAAAGTTGAAAATGAGCTCCACCTTAACCAACTGCAACAGTAAAATCCTGCTAGGGATGTGTGTGATTAATCATCTAAACGATTAAACGTCTGCCCCAGCTGCTCTTTACCCTCAGTTTAAGATGCAAGACCCCCAAAAAAGTAACTTGCATAGTGTAAAAAAAATCATTTCAAGAATGTCCCTCTGACAAAGAACAGTGTCAAATGCATGATAATGTTAAATTAGCAATGACAGGTCTGATGTTTGATTGATTGGCAAAAGATTAGAGTTACAAGGTCTGGAGAGTCAAGCTTCCTTGTGGCAGTGACAGGTGGGAAAAACATTTATTATATAATCCACTCATGGTAAGCTTATATGATTTTCATATGTTCTTAGTAGTTCCCTCTTTGCTTTTAAAGACACAAAAAGCACAGCTCTCTTTGGTATTTTTATGTGGGCCTAAAATGCATGCAATATAATGTTTTAAAATGTTAAATCTTTCAGGTGTCTATGATCAAACCTGCAACAGAGTGACGTACACCAACAGAAGCATCTGTGCCTTAAAAGGCTCATAGGTGGACATTTCTTGCACTTACAAGAGTTATGAAGATGATGTTGAATCTAAACTCTGGTTCAGTCACTCACAACCTGGGGACATTACTGAAGACTACCAGTTTGCAGGTCGTGTTCAGGTCCTCGAAACAAAGGGAGGACACTCTACCCTGAGAATCACTGACCTGAGAGAGAGCGACTCAGGCCAGTATCACTTCAAATTCAAAACACCAAGCTTTGAATGGGAGAGTAGTTTAGCTGGTACAGCTCTGACTGTCACAGGTACTGATGAACACAAACTGATATTTCATTATACAATACAGTTTAAAGAAGAAAAAAATCATTTGAGTGACTGATGTCTCAGAGTGTTTCACAGCTGTGGAGAGTGTTTTTATAGACTTAACCAATGACATAGTGGATTGTTCCTCACATATCCAGCTCTCCAGGTGCAGGTGACCAGAATAACAGTCTACCAGTCTTATACTGAGGCAGAGCTGAAGTGTCACAGCAGCTGCAGTCCAGCTGGTCGTCTTTCCTACGTCTGGTTCAAGAATGGAGAGAAAATCATTGAGGACAGTTCTTCATATAAAGACCAGTTTTATCCTGGAGACTTCATCTCTTGTGCTTTTGAAGAACATAAGGATTACAGTTCTCCTTCAGTGTGTGAGTTTGCTTCTGTGTGTAACTAACAAGAAAGAATCAAACTCCACTACCCACTTCAAGTATAATATTTGCCTCTTCACAATTTAAACATGTTAATGTTTTCTCCTCCAGATGCTCCGGAGGTTCCCTCTGTGTCAGTGAATCCCTCTGCTGAAATCATGGAGGGTACTTTGGTGACTCTGACCTGTGGCGGTGATGCTAACACAGCAGCTAAATACACCTGGTACAAGGAGAATCAAACACTGATCACTGAAGAACCACAGCTCGTCTTCAGCTCCATCCAGTCCTCTGACTCTGGACTGTATTACTGTATAGCTGAGAACCAGCTGGGGAGGAGGACATCTGACTACATGTTTATTATTGTGAAATGTGAGTGAAATTCACTATGTAGTATTATGTAGAAAACACAACATACAGCCTATAAATTTAACTTTTAGGTTTGAATCATTTGAAAAGGGTCTTGGAGATCAAATATTTATTCAGCTCTGTCTGCTTCATATTCACAGTCTGCTTTGTACTTCACTGGGACAGCTTCAGTAGTTGTTTATGGGGAGATTTTATTCACTATTTATAGTTAATATATGTAAAATCATCTTCTCCAGATGCTCCAAAGACCTCCAGTGTCTCAGTGAGTCCCTCTGCTGAGATAGTGGAGGGCAGTTCAGTAACTCTGACCTGTAGCAGTGATGCTAACCCAGCAGCTAAATACACCTGGTACAAGGAGAACCAAACACTGCTTCAAGGACCAGAAGGAAATTATCGCTTCACTTCCATCAGCTCTGAAGACAGAGTTTACTACCACTGCAAGTCTAAGAATCAGTATGGACAGATGAACTCTTCATCTTTATTTATAGATGTCCAGTGTAAGTCTTTTTTTTCAATGATACAAAAGTCCTTCATTAACACACATGCCAATATTAATGGAATGTGTCCCTCTTAATATTCTCCTCCAGATGCTCCAAAGCTTCCCTCTGTGTCAGTGAGTCCCTCTGCTGAGATAGTGGAGGGCAGTTCAGTGACTCTGACCTGTAGCAGTGATGCTAACCCAGCAGCTAACTATACCTGGTACAAGGAGGATGAAGACTCACCAAAAGCATCAGGACAGATCTTCACCATCTCTAACATCACAGCTGAACACAGTGGGAATTATTACTGTGAAGCCCAGAACACAAGAGGACGTCATAACTCCACCTTACATCTGACTGTTGTGGCAGGTACGTTTCCATTTACTTACACACTATGCAGCTGAGATCAGAACACACACACAACCTCCCCTTTAAACCTTACATGTGAAACTGCTCAAATCATGTCTACACTAAGATGGCTAAAATTAAGCATTTTATAAAATTGTTTCCATCAAGGAGAACTCTGAAAACAATGAGAGTCATTGAAAACATATTGACATATGTCCGTCTTAACCAAAGACTGAATAAATAATGGACGTAGCCACCGTGACATATACTATTGGACTCGTGTTTTGCAGCCTCAAGTTTGGCAACATGTCTGCTGCCATTTTAAATTTTTGGAGCCAGAAATGACCATATTTGGACAAGAAGGGAGAGTGGAGCTGTGGAGGATCGAGGGGTGGATCTAACTCATAGACTGTCACTCAAAACATTCACGTCCATAATTATGCTTAACTTTGGACCTTAAAGGGAAATTTCGGTTTATTTCAACCCATCTCCTATCGTCCTAAATTTGTTTCAAGTGACTAGTGACATAGAAATAATTGTTAGCATGTTAGCTGTTAGCCTAAATACAGCCGAGGCGCATAGTAGCGTCAGACCTGTTAAAACGTAAGTGAACAGGCAACCTTCAAGTGCAAAGTTAGTCCACTAAACAAGCTTTTTTTCCACAAAGACCGCCTCATATCGTTAGGATAAATGTCACAGAACATATAGAAAACGACATGTAAACGCGTTGTCTTACCTTACCGGTGTGCTGCCATGTTTGTTTACCATTTAGCTCTGCTTTCCAAAGCGCGGCCGAAATATATCTCGCGAGCTCTAGATAAAGCCCAGCTGGATACTACTCCAGGTGGAGGTGTCTCGTCCTCGGTCACATCCAGACCTTGAAAATAAGGCTGCAACCGGTCCCATTCCTTAAAACAGAGGCATTCCTCTTCTGTGGGCACTGGGGCACAGCATTCACAGGTACACCCCCAATCTCCAGAGCTATGCAGCCTTGCAGCAGCCATTCCTCCTCTCTCGTCCTCTACCTGTTGCGCCTCTCTCTCTCCTCCTCCGTTCTTCAATTTCACGAAGCTCTTCGTCAGTGTATTCTTGCTCAAATAAATAAGGGCGGTCATCAAACTCTGCAAAGTCAAATTCCTCCTCCACAAAGTCGAAGTCCGGCAAAAAGTCAGCCATTATTCTTTAAATCTTTCATAAAATAAATGAATGAACTTTTCAGGCTACTGTCCGGTTCTGCCTTCCAGCTGTTGCTGCTGGTTCAGGCACGCTATGAGATCGCTGCTTGTTCTCGCGATATTTCAGCCGCGCTTTGGAAAGCAGAGCTAAATGGTAAACAAACATGGCAGCACACCGGTAAGGTAAGACAACACGTTTACATGTTGTTTTCTATATGTTCTCTGACATTTATCCTAACGATATGAGGCGGTCTTTGTGGAAAAAAGCTTATTTAGTGGACTAACTTTGCACTTGAAGTATGCCCGTTCACTTACGTTTTAACAGGTCTGACGCTACTATGCGCCCCGGCTGTATCTAGGCTAACGGCTAACATGCTAACTATTATTTTTATGTCACTAATCACTTGAAACAAATTTAGGACGATAGGAGAAAGGTTGAAATAAACCGAAATTTCCCTTTAATAACATTTAACAGTCCACTTATATGAAAATTCAGGTACTTGAAAGTATCTACATGACATGACACTGTCATAACTATGACATGACACGGTCATGAACCTGTCATGAACATTATGAACATGTCATAAACGTTTATGACTGTTGTCACTAAGTGTCATTCATCTTTTGTAATGACAAGTTGACATTGTTTGGGTTGTCTTGATTATGACTTGTCACCTTGTCACAGTTGGCTACTATGTTGCGGTAAAGTTACAAAGCCAACTTACCATCACGTCTGAACATACTTGATACGTATTGCTGCTGTTTCTGACCGAAACTGTGACGATCAAATGACTTGGACTCACTTCAGGTCTTGAGGTTTTCCAGAGGTTTGTTTCAACATTATTGAGCAGTGAAGACTAGACTTAGAAATAGATGGATAGATGCATAAAGGATTATAGCCATGATACTTTCCCTGTCCCAAAGAATATATTCAGATGTAAGAACAAGGTGCAACATAATGGTTGTAAACATCCTGTAACAGTCAAATTAATTCAGTGTTGTCATCTTATCACCACTTCTAGGAGCATGGAAATCAACAGCTGTTGGAACAGCTACTACTGTTGTCCTCGCTGTCATACTTCTCTCTGTCTTTATACTGACTAGGTAAGCAGTTATCTTCCGATAAATTATTGTTTCTTTAAGTCAAATTATGATATATTACAACTTGGATCTCATTGTTGGAGAAGTTTGGCCATATATTCTGACGCTAATGACAAGACTGTTGTCACTCAAGTCATCTGGAAACACAAAGGACGTTGTTACAACTTTGGCTGATCTCATTTTTCTTTCCTCGTTGGACAGAATACAGAACAAGCCAATAGTTCACTCAGATTCTCTAAACCACTGAAACTGATACCGCAGTGAAACTGAAAATAAGCACACTGTGCCCTCACTGTGAGTAAAAATATTAATTCATTTAATTTTTAATTCTCCTAACCAGAAAGAAGAGGGCTGCCAAGCAATCATTCAGGTCTGGGGAGAGATCAGACTACAGGACACAGGTGAGGAAGAAGAGCTGAACAATTGCAATGCAAAAGAAAACTCATTCTGTTTCAACAGTTCAGCTCAGACTGCTGGGTCACATGTAGAAGCACTGCATGTGCTGGACCGTGTTGGTGAAGAAGGGGCTGGTAATCTATGGTAGTCAGTTCTGGGTAAAGTAGAGAAAGAACAACATTCCGGTTACAAGCAGCCAAAATGAACCTCTGGGCTCAAGATAGATGTTGAAGGAGTCTTTGTTGAGGTACTCTAAGCACATACAGAGCAAGTGGGAGAAGATCTTGAAGCAGACCCAGAACATACTGGATCTGACAGGACATATCTCAGGGTCTGCCAGCAAAAGCCACAGGCTGTGGCTGGGGAGAAGGACATGAGGGCGACTGTGCTTTGAGACTCTTACTATCACCATGACCAAACCCAGATAAGCAGCAGAAAATGGATGGATCAGTTGTATAACCCAAGGTTCTATTAAAGTTCAAGATTGTTTTAGGGAGGCATTGGGTTATTTTTACCTTCATATTCTAGCGCAACAGGATTTATATCCAGGAAATGCCCCTTTTAAAAAGCCCTTCAAGTAACAGCAATCTTGTCCGCAGTATCTTCCACCTGGGAGACAGCTGGACGACCCGCAGGACGACCTTCACTATGCCAGTGTCCGATTTTGCAAGAACCAGGCAGATTTGGCCGTCAGACCAGTTCAGCCCCACAGACACGAGACCGAGGAGAGTGTTGTGTATGCTGATGTCACGTTTAAGAGGTGAGCAACAGGAACATTGTTCTGACTTTGAAGGTATACTACGCAGGATGTTCCCAAAAATGATTGACTCATACTAAAGTAATCCCTCTCAATCATTACTCATGACCCACTAAAAGTGTGTGAGACCCTGCCCTCGTCCTGTATTTCCTTATGTTCGTCTTATTTTGCTGTGTTCGGGACGTCCCTCAGCACAGCAGGCAGGTAAGGTTGTGACTTTTTAAAATGGTGGCTACCAGGTGCCAGACCATGGGCAGCACGCATCTCAGAGGAAGCTTGTAAAATCATGGACACAGTATGGAAAAAATTCAAAAATAGCAACGCCAAACAGCAAGTGGACAAAGCTTGTTCCAAAACGAGTGAACTTGGGTTTGGCTTTCAGTTTTGCTGGTGACAGAGTTTATAAACAGTAGCCAACAATTCCTGCATAGTATACCTTTAAGGTTGAAATTACATTAGCTTGGAGTAATTACATGGCTGTTGCATTTGCCTGATGTAACTGTACCTTTTTTTATGACCACTGTTTTTATCATTTATTACTTTATCTGCAAAATTCCTTGATTATTTTTTTCATTGAAAACCAGATGTCAGAAATCAACCGGAGAGGATCCAGCTGCACTGTACAGCACAATCAACAAAACCCGCTGAACATATGGTATTTATATGACGTAGTTTGTTTATTTAAGCATGTAACCATTTATTTACTGTAATTCTTTCTGAGTACACAGCATTGAGACAACCCAACATTTTTTGACGACAATTCAAATTTACAAATTTGTGCAGAATACAGCTTGTTATTAATAGTCAGCATATATTACCCCGAAACAATATGTAAAATATCTAATGCTGTTTATTGTAAACACATTTTTTTTCTACATGTTTTGCAGACGTCTGTTTATAGTAGAGGGACAGACTCAAGGAAGAAAACTTATTTTGCTTTTTCTGTCACTGACCTCCTGTTCTTCGTATGGATGACTGACAGTTTTAACACCCAGCAGATAGTTAATCCTTTAAAACTGATACATATGTGGAAGGAATTAGGGTTTTAAAGGGGCAGTTCAAAGTCAAATATAATTATTTTTCCTTTTACCTGTAGTGCTATTTATCAATCTAGGGTGGGATGGAGGTGTTTGAGATATCCGCTTAAGAAATGTCTGCCTTCTGTCCACTAAAATGGAACTAGATGGCGCTCGGCTTATGGTGCTCAAAGTGCCAAAAATACATTTGAAATACAAAATAGCAATGTCTCTTTTCAGATATCATGATCAGGTTTCTCAAGATAATCCACAGACCTTGTTCTGAGCAGTTTCATGTAGGAACTATTTTCTTTTCACTGAATTGTACCCACCAACCATATCACTGTGCAGAAGGAGGCATGCATCTACTCATGGACTAAAGGCTCATGCTTGTGACAGCACAAAATGTAAACATTAATGGCGTCCTTCTCGGCTGAGCTGTAACGTTAACTAGCTCAGAGGTGCTAGGTGAGCCAGTGGTAGATGCACGCTTCCTTCTGCATGGAAATACCTTTTGTATTTCGGTAGAAAGAAAATAGTTCTTACTTGAAACTGCTCACAACAAGGTCTGAAGATTATCTTGCACAACTGTGTCATGATTTCCGGAAAGAGACATTGCTGTTGAGGTTTTCAAATGTATTTTTGCCACTTAGAGCACCACAAGCCGAGTGCCATCTAGTTCCATTATATTCAAGAAAAGGCAGACATCTCTACAGCTAATATCGCCAACACTCAGAAACTCACAACAAAACAATCTAGACTGATAAATAGCACTACAGACAAGAGGGAAAATATGTAATATTGATTTTGGGGTGATCTGCTCCTTTAACCTTTCAGGCTAACAAGCCTGTAGAATGATGCCTTTTGCTGCAATGTGTTATACTAATAACAGCCCTTCATCAACAATATGTGTAATGTTAGCTCATGTTACAGTAGGATATTTGACAGTTTGATAATTTTGTTTTGTGTTGAGCATTCTATAAAAACTATAATACCCTTGAGGAGATGGTACAGTGTTCTCTGTCGCTGCCAGTAGGATGTAGTTCTTCCTCATTCTTATTTTAACATCACAGTAGAGATGGGCATGCTGCTGTAACCAGCTCTGCTTTCAGTTCTTTTTTCCGCAGTGAAAACGCAACTTGTTTTTATGTCTTCATTGCACAGGCTTTAAGCCTAAAATTACCACTCAATCTTTGTGTGCCCACTAATTTGCCATCTTTACATCAAAATTGCACAGGAGAATGGTGTTCAGTTGGTGCTTAGACACTTCTACAGCCTGCAGCCATTGACAGACAGTTCATATGCAGTGTCCTCGAGGTTCTTGCATTTAGCTTGAAGGCTGGGGTTGTTGGAGCACTCTGCAGATGTAGGCCAGCGTTCCACCCAGGTGTCCTTTCCCAACATGTAGGTTAATCTGACAGACAGGAAGAAAAAACAAAATAAGAACAGTGAACCTTGTTTAACCACTTTGCCTAAAAATGGCTATGATATATCTTTGACTGCAGTTTCATTGTTGCAGCAGTGACTTACTATACTATGACTTTTTTAATGACATACTATACTATGACTTTTTAATGACGTACTATATTATAACTTTTTTTTACATACTATACTATGACTTTTTCATGACATACTATACTATGACTTTTTGGACATACTATACTATGACTTTTTATGACATACTATACTATGTCTTTTTCATGACATACTATACTATGACTTTTTATGACTTATGATACCATAACTTTTTTTGACATACTATACTATGACTTTTTTGACATACTATACTATGACTTTTTTATATATACTATACTATGACTTTTTTGACATACTATACTATGACTTTTTTGGACATACTATACTATGACTTTTTATGACATACTATACTATGACTTTTTTTGACATACTATACTATGTCTTTTTCATGACATACTATAATATGACTTTTTATGACTTATGATACCATAACTTTTTTTGACATACTATACTATGACTTTTTTGACATACTATACTATGACTTTTTATGACATACTATACTATGACTTTTTGACATACTATACTATGACTTTTTTGGACATACTATACTATGACTTTTTATGACATACTATACTATGACTTTTTTGACATACTATACTATGTCTTTTTCATGACATACTATACTATGACTTTTTATGACTTATGATACCATAACTTTTTTTGACATACTATACTATAACTTTTTTGGCATACTATACTATAACTTTTTTGGCATACTATACTATGACTTTTAATGACTTATGATTCCATAACTTTTTTTAACATACTATACTATAACT